AATAAATTTGACTCGACTCGACTCGAAAAAAATGAGTCGAATAGAGTTGGTCTTTAAACTCGACTCGACTCGACTCAACTCATTCGGAACTCTAGTTATAAAGTTACAAATGAATGGAATAATGTTAAGAAAGAGAGTGCTGAAAAAATTGATGATATAATTTGAGACTATATGGCTACACCGCTTAATCTTTATGATATACAATCAATAAGATACAAGCGTTCTGAACCTATGATACCTATAGAAAAACCAAGTCCTTCACTTCCTACCATTCATTCAGTAAATATCTTACCAGAAATTTCTACAAATGCATCAGTTCAAAAAAAAGCAGCTGATGCAGTCAAAACAGCTGAAAAAAAGCTTAACGAATTTGAGCAAATTTACAATATAACTAGTGATATTCAGATTCATAATGACATATATCAAAAAATAGAAAACTTGCAGAATGAAATTAAATCTAATAAAGATAAAATTACTAAGTTAAAAAGAAATGTCAAATATACTCAAAATTGCAGAGAAAAACTAAAACTACTTATCAAAAAATTAGGAGATTGTCCGTTATGATAAACCTGAAAAACTATCATTTCTCTCCAAGTATCTAGATTTGCATGACCATATACATGATTGCATAGAATTTGGATCAGCAGATGCAAAACGATGAAAAAAGCTGTTAAAGTTTGGATTATAGAAAATTTACGCAAAAATCTTGAAGAAAAATATGATATTTATATGATGAGAACTACCTTAAATAATTACTTAATACTTCATCAAGCAAATTCGATCGCTGTAAAAGCACATCACCATCTGGCATAGGTTGCTATTACCAAAGTTTCACATATCGAAATACATGAATATCCTGATAGTCACTATTGCCTCGCGTTAGTAAAATGTGCAAAATAATTTGCTAGCACTTTTGCTGATGTTTCAGTTGTCATCTCTCAAGATGATAAGACAAAAATCGGTCTTGGAGTGCCTGCAGTAGGTCGCACATTCTGTATATTGCAATCCATTAATAAACCTACAACTATAGTAGATTACGATTTTCCTGTAAGGTTCAGATAGAAATTAATTCCATCAGTATATTTGATGATAAATCTAAACGAATCTAATGACGAATTGCAGACAGGACAGTTAGCAATTTTTATACATTCTCATTGGTCTCTTGGAACATCTTCACTTACACATATGCAAGATTTGAAAAGTCTTATCTTAAATCCCTAATATGAAAGCACATTTAAAACGGATGGAAAAATTTGACTGATATGGATCTTATTGGTAAATGGAGGGCCAGATAAGAATCCTAGACACTTAAAAAATATTAAGACCTATTGCTAACTTTTCAAAAAGTTTGATTTAGATTTTTTAAGTATGCGAACATATGTCCCAGAGCAATTAAAATATAATCTGGTTGAAAAATGTATGGCAACATTGTCTAGTAAACTTGCCGGTATCACTTTACCAATTGATTATTATGATACACATTTGAATACGTAAGGGAAAGTTGTAGATTCAGAATTGGCTGCTCAAAATTTTCACTATGCAGGAGAAGCTTTATGTGAAATTTGGTATTGTGATTTAATTTTTGGAAAGAAGGTTGATGCTCGTTATGTTAATGTACTCACGAATCTATTTGAGCATATACAATTAGAGAAAACAGAAAAAGAAAAGGTTAAAGAATTAAAATGGAGAAAAAAAGAACAGAAAAAATTAAAAAATACAGACAAAGAAACAACACATACCTTTTCTGAATCTTTTGTATTATGGTCTTAGATCGAAACTCATTATAATTTATGTACCTACTCTCTTGATATTAAACGATGCATAAATACCAGTTGCTGTGAACCACTCAGAGCCAAGGAAGCTATGGACTTTCTTCACCTACATAATGGTTTCTTATCACCTATTACCAAAGTTAGAGATGGCTAGTTTACAAATCCTATTCACCTTCTTCAATATGACGATCTTTTGAAAATACCAGGATATGATGCACATTATACGTCAATTGAAAAAAATACATACTTACGACTTTGCTGTTCTGTTTGCCAAAAATACTTCCTCACTCTCATATTTTTGACAAATTATAAGCGATTAATGCATCCTACTACCTGAGGACAACTTAAAAAATAACAAGCTTTTAATGATTTCTCTCTTCTTCCATCTCAACAAACAGAATCATATGGTGAAATAGAGTTTGACTTGAGGACTTGTAATTCAGATAGAGAATAATATTTTATTATAAAAGTATATATGCGTGTATGTGATCTGTATAAATGCGCATTTATAAATACGCGTTTAATAAATTTTTGCTAAGCCATTGTTATAATGATTATCATATTGCTCACAGAATCTTGATATTATATGTAACGTAAGATCTCCCATAAGAACTCCTGTTACCCTCTCACCCCTAAGATATTACGTAATATCTGTCACTGCCCTTATGAACACATATAATATAATTCATCCAAATCCTCTCGATATATATATTTATTTCCTGCTAACTTAGTATAAAAACTAGTACGACACATTTCATCTGAGTATTTCTCATGAAATTTATTCTAAAGTATATTCTTTAAGTTTTTAGGTAATGCATTAGTTTATTAGCGATAGAATCTGTTTTATATAAATTCATTATAACATTAGCTTTATTTGTTAGGAAAGCTTCTAATTGTGCATTTTTTTTGCTAACATTTTTTTATGTCTAATTACAGGTTTTTTAGTAATTAATCCTCTAAAACCATAAAGACGAGTATAATACAAATTGCATTATTTGAAACCTAATAGAAATAATAGGCTTAATAAGGAAAGTAGGATTAATAATTAATTATATTAAATGTAAACTGATTACTCACACTTAAGTTTTTTTTAATATCTTCATATTTAAATCATTAGCAATTATAGATAATATCTGTTAATGTCTATCAATATCACATTTATTAATATTTAAAGAATTGCGAAAAGAATCTCAAAAAGTGTTTGTGAAGTATGATGGAGTTGGTGTAATAAATCCAAGATCATATAATACAATCAGAGAATTTCTATCATTTTCTGAAGTGGTAGATTGAGACCAAAACTTAAACTATAAAAGTAATTTTTAACAGTTAAGCTTATATATGTAAACTATAATATTTATTTAAATAAAACTTACCTCTGATTGATTTTTATTATATGGAATAACATCAGAACAGCTGACATTTTTTAGCATTGCTTTTCAAGCTCAAAATTTCTGATCACCAATTTCATATTTTGTTAGATAAATTAGCTACAAGGTTAATTTTAATTCAATAATATTTGGCTGCTTCAACCAATTACAAAAAAAATAGTGCTAATCTATCTCTACTAATACATGACGTTTAAGATGGTAATTAAAGACATTGATTATTACCTCTTTATTATACTATTTATCTAAGATACAAAATAGAATTTGAGCTGCTTATATAAGGTCTTTAGTGTGCTGATTAATTAGTCCAAAAAGTTGTTTTCTATCATATTATTGTAGTATTCTGATTTTTGATTAAACTAAATCTGGATTTTGATCAATAAAGATCATGTATATATCAGGTCTATAAATATTATTACTTTACAATAATATTTATCTATTTCTTGATAAAATAAAGCCTGCCTTTTTTATATTGATATATGAAAACTGACTTAAATTTAGGACTAGCTAAATTAATTATGATTTTATAAGAGTATCCAATTTTTATTATCCAAATTCGAAGGCTTCTAAGTTAAAAGTTATAAAGACAAAATGGTAAATTTGATAATAATTCATTAGTAATAATTGCTGTATTAAATCCCAGAACTTTTAGACCTGAAAGTTTTGTATCTATTTTAAAAAGAACGTGATATACTGAAGAAATAGCTACTATTGTTATTTCGCATACTTCACTTTTGACCTTATTACACTTATAAATATATCCAGGATGTGGGCTAAAAGCAGAATTAAGTCGATTACCTCTGTAATAAATTCACGTTCATTTAATATGACTAATATTTTGAAATGCAACCGAATTAGGTAAAATGAAATTATATCATTTGTTTTATTAATAGGCTAGAAAAGCTACCAATTATGACAAAAAGGTCCAAAATACAAATTTTCATTTTAAATATCACGAGAAATTAATAAAATCGTATATTCTTTGTATTTTGACATGTGGTAAAAAAAATTAGGCTAAAGAGAATTAGCAGATTCTAACAAATGTTCAAAACATACAAGTTAATTATTCCTGCATTTATATATTAAAATCACTGATCGGCATACATATCACAAATTAATTTTTTTATTATTATAAATGAAACTTTTAAGTAAATATCTAATATCTTATTTTTATTATAAGTTTATTCTAAATATTTTATATATAAATAATTTTGCAATTTTTTATTAATTATTTAACTAGTAATATTAGTAATATGAATACTTTGCAATAAAAAAGAAAACTATTAAAATAAATTTTTTTATTTTATAAGCTAAATATTATTTTTTTTTAGTAAAATAAATTCAGATTTAATATTAACTTAAAAAAAGATTTTTTTTGATAAGTTTTTTCTTTTATTATAAAATACCTATATTAATTATTAAAATTTTATTTTAATTTTAAGTTTATAATCTTATAATAAAATTTTAATTATAATTTTAATAATAAAAATTATTAAATAAAAAAAAAATTATTATAATAAAATTTTATTATTAATAAATTAAATAATTGCATATTATAAATAAATTATAAATAAACAATATATTTTATTTATAAGGATTATATAATTATATAATTATTTATTTTTGGCTTTTTTTCAAGTTTTAAGATATTTTAAAGCTGGTTCAAATGGAACTCTAACTTCAAAAGATCCAGTTCCACCTTGAATAACTTTACCTAATACTATTCTTGCTGATGGAGAATCCAATAAATCAGTATCTCCATGAAGAGTAGCTTGTGTTAAAAAAGAACATGTACTTTCAAAACTCATTTTTAATAAAGGAGATGTGCTTGTATCTAAACCAATTCTATTAAATGGTTTGTACTTTCCTTCAAAAGTCTATTATAAATTTAGAGATTAATATTAGCAATAACTTAATAAATATAATTGAAATAAAGGAATAATATTTTTTACCATATAATCAGCAACTAAAGTCAAATGTCTGGTGTTTACATCAATACCGTATACTGCAAAAACACCCGAAATCTCCTTTAGAATAGCTGCCCTTGCTGCCTCAACGCCATAAGTATTAAGAATAGCAGCTATATCATTGGAATAAATGTTATTTAAATCTATTATATTGTCATATTTCCAAATACTATAGAAATTAACACCCTCCGTTGCAACGATTTTCTTTCAAATTAAAATATGTAAATCAGCAAAATTTCAAAGAAAATTAAGTTCAAATTAAACATATAACACCTACTGAAGCATCATCATGAGATTCGTTTTCAATAGGATAACATTTTGAAATACCATGAATTTCATGTATAACTGCTTTTTTGCTTGCAGATTGCGCTATACCTAATAATAATAATTTTTTCGTTCCAGGGGGGAACTAAATCAACATTTAAATTAAAGTTAATAATATTCATTAATTAAATTTTACATAATGCATTAAAATCACCTGTAATTCAATTTCACACCAGCTGCCATTTTCATAATCAAAGCGATAATTAGTGACATAAGTTGAACCCAATATAATTCTGTCACTTCTATCCTTTAATCCATTTACAATTCTATTATTTCTCTGTCGACGTGAAGATGTGCTTGTCGTGCTTATATCATGCTCATGCTCTTCACTTAATCCATTAGGATGCTCATCTTCATATGTCATTTCAAAATCCTCTTCATCGGGAATAGCCCTTTGGGTTTGTCGGATAATCTCTAAATCATCCTCATCAGGTGCATCATATGTAGCATGTTCTCGAGTTCTTAAACGAACCTTTGCATTTGTTGCATCACCATCCCCATCATCTGATTCTAAATTAAAGTCATATAACGTTAAAATAGCACTGGGTATATATGCATGATGAACAATCATATTGAACTGAATATATAACCATCTCCGCCAGCGTTTCGAATAGGTGCGCTTTCATCAAATGATTCGTTTCTTAATTCCTTTGATTTTCTGAGCGGCTTTCCAAAATCAAAATCAACATCTGAAAGTTGTATAGATTTATTAATTAAAAAAAAATATATTAATAAAAATAATAAATTAATTCGTACCTACCAACTTGGTCGTTTATATTACTAGCATGCTTAACCTCTTTCTTTATGGAAAATTCAAGATATTTAATAAAATTTAATTCAATCGCATCCTCAATATTAAATGGAAAAATATTAAATTCTTCTTTATATTCGTGTTTTGGATAAAATTCCATACGAATTGTATACATTTTTTTACGTATTGTTTCGGTTGATCCAGAATCAACTTGTTTTCGTATAATTTGTTCACGTACTGTCATTTGTTCTATAACTTCAGAAAGAGTTAATTTATTAATTTCTTGACAGAAGTTCTTGGCATCTTCATCAGAAACATGGCTTCGTAAAGGAAGAGTCATCATGGGCGTTTTGATATTAGCAGAAGCTGTCATTATAATTTCGCGAAGACGAGGGATACCAAGTGTAACATTTTTTGCGCCAAAACCAGCAAAGTGAAAAGTATTTAAAGTCATCTGGGTTGAAGGTTCTCCAATACCTTGAGCAGCTAATAATCCAACTGCTTCGCCAGGTTCAACTAGACTATGCAAATATTTAAGATGCATGAGTTTTGTAAATGCTGGTCCAGTCAATGAACTTTCTTTGAGGGATTCACCAAACAGATTATCGGGGTTCTCCTTCACATACTTTATAAAAGTTAAAATGGTTTCGACAAATTTGATATCATATAAAACATAAATATCAAAGTTTATGTAAGTAATAATACCTTTTCCAACGCATTATGAAAACTCTCAGAAACAGAACCTAGATATCTGCTCGGAGAGTATATTGAAAGTACTGGATCGTATTTCTCAGGTTTTTTAGCAGCTTTCTTTGCATGAAGAGAAGCTTTTGAAATATCAAATAATAAAGGTGCTTTGATTATATCATACTTTTGTATTAACGCTTTGTGATTTTCAGCATTAAATTGAAATTTATTAAGATGCTTTTGCTTGACAACATCAAGTGAATCTTCTCCATAATTGAATTGAATCACCGAGCCATCTACATCTCTAACTGTATGATCATAGTGAACGCGTAATCCTTCTAGATGCTTTATTAGACATCTTTGAAGATATCCTGAACGACTTGTCTTTACAGCCGTATCTATAAGTCCTTCACGACCAGCCATACAATGGAAAAAATATTCCTTTGAATTAAAAAAAAAAATCTTTAGATAAATCTTTAAATATGCTATGATTATGCAAATAAATCATTTCATTTACTTGAGGCTTAATCCCGGTCAAGAAACGACCACCAATAAAGCCTCCCGCACGTGCAGAAGGATCATAAGGTCGAAACGACGGAAGAGTTTTACCACTTATCATCACTGGTACACGACGACCTTCTAATTCTTGCTGACCTATAAAATTAATAAAATTTTCAATTACTTAGTTTTGTTAAATATTCTAAAAAAAATTCTTACCTAAACAGCAAGAAATTTGAGACACATTAACGTTTGTTCCCTTTGCACCAGATATCGTCATTGTTTGCATATTATTATATGGAAAGCCTTTTAACTTTTTTTAATAATGAAGAAAATTAATTACGCGCAAAGTTTCTTAAGTGCATAACATCTAATAATTTTTATCATTAAAATGAAAATTACCAATCCTCTCGGAATACAAGTGCTAATAATTGATGATGTCAATCTATTCACTCTTGATTTCATGACAGCATCTAATCCTTGATGTTTTTCAGTATCCCTCAATACTTCTTCCATCATATTTTTAAAATCTACGAGAATTTGAAAAATTCTTAGTTATAAATTTGGTATTGTGCAAATGAATTCAAAAATTAAAAAGGCATTTTTGAAACCTTTATCAACATTTGGTAAATCTGATTTATCGAGAACGTGTTTCATTCCAACGTATTCGAATGCAGCCCATTTTCCAATGTCTGTATTATTTTCCATTAACAGTTTCCTTTCTAAATCTCCTTCAGGAGTTAAACGCAAATCGTCCATACGGCAAGAAAAACCACATCTTTGTATATAAGCCGTAAACAATCTTCCCAAAATACTTAAAAATTGCCCTGCAATGTCGGCAGAATATAATTCATAACAAGAATGAATCAAACCAAAAGAAGTATTACCAAATTGTGATTTATCAAGTACGCCTGTTAGATGTTCCCCATCCATGAAAATAACTGTATCTTCTTCAGCAGCACTCCATCCCCAATATTTAGCTGAAATCTTATTTTTCGATTTCAAATTAAGAGGTGCACGACCTCTTGTCAAATTTAATAATACTGTCGTTATCTAATAAAAGAAAAAATTTTAAATCATAACTTATAAATCAAAAATTAGAAAGCGATTTTTTAAAAATATACAATTTGCTTGCCAGTCCATAATGGTTTCGGTTTGTAAATAGCTGGTGGAACGATCAAAACTTTTCTTGTATCGCAGGGATCGGGTCTCAACGCAGCAAACACAATCTGCTGATAATCACCTTTAATAAAAAACGTATCTTTGCAAGTCATCCATACACCAGTAACCACGTGATCTTGGATCAAACCTCTCAAGGGATTACCAGAAGTAGGTCCAAGATATTGTTTATTAGTATTACCAATGATCATAGCTTCAGCACGAGCAATTTCATTCTGAGGAAAATGCATATTCATTTCATCACCATCAAAATCTGCATTATAAGAATTACAATTTGCATAGTGCATTCGGATTGTCATTTCTCCCTTTAAAATTCTAGCTTTATGAGCCATAATAGAAGGTTTGTGAAGAGTAGGTTGACGATTCAAAAGCAACGCATCACCATTACGAAGATGGCGAAATACTTTTTTATTCAAACATTGTGCTTTAATGTGGTATTGAGTAAAAGGTGATTTAAAAGTATCTTCCCGAATCAATTGTTCGCTTAGAGCAATACGAGATTCTAAAGGTAAACTAGCCAAATTTACTAAAGTGCCATCTTCGTGTTGGACATGTGTAGCACCTGGCCATATATCTGGTCCATTAATAACAGCATTAGTCATTTCTCTAAGGTTATATTCAGTAACTGGTTCTGGATAAGTAAGTTTTTTGGCAAATCTTAACGGAACCTGAGATATTATCAAATGATTTTAATATATTATTCACTCCTAACTTCACTTTTAAACTTATACGAATAATATTGATAACATACACCTATTTCATCAGTATCAACGTAGGGATCTGGAGAAATGACGGAACGTGCCGCATAATTAACTCGTTTACCCTAATTAATAAATTTAATTAAAATTTTTACTTTGTTGCAATTTACATTCACAAATAATAATAATAATAATAATAATAATCGATCACCATTAAGTGTTTACGGAATAATCCTTCTTTTTTTTCCAAGATTTGCTTGATTCCAGCAGCTGCTTGCTTGCCATATGCGGTTGGTATATTTCCTTTGGTATTATCCACCATACCATTCACAGCATCCTGTAAATCTATCCAAGCTTTCATCAAGCTATTTAAAATCTCCTTATGAGCTTCCGCAACTTGACTTTCGGGACTTTTGCTTTCGTTCATCTTTGCAGCGTAATTGAGAAATCCCTGACGTGCGTTCAATATCCTTATTAAATGTTCATTTTGTGGATTTTCCATTGTCTTATCATGGACAATGTTAGCAGGTCGAAACCGCGTAGGAGGAACTGCAACAACGTCTATAAAAAACATATTCGCACAGACAGTTTTTGGAGATTTGTGACGAAAACCCATAACATCTGATAAAAGTCCCTGAGCGCAATATAACATTGTACATAGTTCGGATTCATTCACAAATAGCTTAAGAAAATGATCACGCAAAGCTCCGGGGGTAATAAATTCATTTCCAATTTTTGAAGACGTGTTATTATTAACTTCATCATGTATATATTGTTGCTCGTGTTCAATTTCTTTTTCCGAAATAACTTCTTCTGCATGTGAATTTCTCTTCCTTGATTTTACAAAATGATCCCCCTGTAATTTTTGATACTTTACAGATAATTGCTTTCGAAAAATTTTGGAATATCCTTCCTTTTTAAATGATGCAGAAAAGCTAAGAAATGTATAACAAATACAATTATTATGGTCAAATAACGAAAATATTAAGTAAATAATCATTATATGTGTAACTTACGAGCCGCAACGTCCACATTGCTTGATTTTGGAACAAGTATGCAGAAATTCCAAAATGATTTTTTTTCTTTCTGCAATTATGGCTGTAAGCTTATGCTTTCCGTCTCCTTTTTTCAGGCTCATTTTCACAAATTGATCTTTTAAAAAAAATGTTGTGATAATAATAATCAGTACATATACATATGATTATTATGAAGTAACACAAAGAAATTCATACCAAGCGCACGAACATGTTCGGTCGTTACTGAATCAGGTGAATTATTGAAATTGTCATCGCCATTGTTTTCATAATCAATATCGTTATCATTAAATAAAGAATTATTAAAACCAATTCCATCTACCATTTGTGATTCCAAGAGCAACCCATGTTTTAATAGTTTTAATTTAGCAGTATACTGGAATGTCTAATGAAATATCAAAATCGTTAATATATTACTTTAAAGGAAAAAAGAAAATTGATCGATTTACCTGTGATAAATTAAGTTTAAAATTATGGCATTCGAGACATATTGATCGCAAAAGTGCAAGACTATGTACAAAGAACAAAGGATTATATACAGGCACAGGTAATTCTATATGTCCAAAATGACCAGGACAACGATAGAAATCAAGATTACATGTCCCACAACTAAACATAAAAAGATATATATATTATTTTAAGTTAATTTTGATAAACAATCAACAATTAAGCATTAAATTACTTCATACAAGGCACTTTGAGTGAAAGGACCTAAGGCGGGATCGTATAGCCCTCCTTCGTTAGGAATACCGACTGCGTCAAATATAATAGGATCAACTATTTCTTTGACAGATAACTTCTTAATTTCTTCGGATGTATAACAGGAAAACGAAGCCGTACTGACTTCATTACCAAGAGGATGCGTGATATTCATTTGATAAATTTTTAGTAAAAATTTTACTGATTATCTACAATTTTTTATTTTTACTTCTTCCGAATTATATATCAACCAATAATATACGTTTGTTCTTTAATTAATATTTCCAATCAAATAAGCATATAAAATCAATAAATTCGTAAAAATATAACAAAAATATTACTTAAACCACTGATTAATTTTCTATTAAAAAAAATATAAGAAAAAAAATGGAAAAAACCATGCAAAAAGATAATAAAATAATAATAAAATAATAAAATATGATCTATTTCCTTTCCAAAATCTCTTGAAATTATCTTAAAAATTCGTCATTATAACATCACTATTATTCAAAAAAGTAAAGATAATAAATAATAATAAAATATGATAAAAATATAATCTTAAAATTTCCCAAAATTGTCTAAATATTCATTATCATAACATTAATATTATCTAAAAAAAAAAAAAAAAAAAGTAAAGATAAATAAATAAAATAATAAAAATATGATTTATTTCTTTTTCAAAATCCTCTAAAATCATAAAAAATAATAAATAAAATAATAAAAATTGAAAAAAATTAACTTTTGAAATCATCTGAAAAAATGTAAAAATAATTGAAAAATTGAAAAAATTAATCCTAAAATCATTTTAAAAAAATGCAAAAATAAGATAAAATAATAAAAAATAAAAAAAAATTTGATCTTTTCCATCTAAAATTCATTATTGTCAAATTATTTACCATTTTTATTATAGAATTTTTATCATTTTTAGTAATAGAAGATATCTTTCTTTTAACTTTGTAAATTCTTTATTTTTATCAGATATTCTTTTATAGCAATATCTGTTTCAATTTAGTATTATAAATTATGTTAAATTGAATTTTATATGACTATTTAAAGTATTGACAAAATACGATCAATCATAGTATTATAAGTTATTATTACAGTCCTAGATGAAAAGAATGACAAAGACAATTTTCAACAATATGTATAAATTTTTTTTTAATGTTTATTTATTTTTTTTGTTTAAAAGAATAATACTAACAGACATTTTTTAATAATTAATTAATATTTTGTGTGCCCTCCTTCTGCATCAATACATGCTTGAATCTGGTTCAGCATGCTATTAATGTACTGAAGTAATACATCATTATTGAGTTCGTCCCATTCCTGCCAGATTGTATTAAGAAAAACATTACAGGTAATTTTTTTTTTACCACCATATTCTTAATTTTTTTCTCTATTTTTCCCTTTAATACAGCCCATACATTTTCAATAGGATTCAAGTCTAGGCTGTACGAAGGCCAAGAAAGAACTCTTCTCAGAAGATGTTTTTTTAAGTTATTTTAAACGTCTTGTGAGGCGTGTTTTAGATCATTGTCTTGTTGAAAGACCCAGTTATGACCGATTAATATTGCTGTAATATTATACAAATGATCATCTAGAATGTTTAAATACAAATGACAGTCCAAATTTTCAGTAAACAAATGAATACTAACTTTTCCTTTGACACTAATCGCTGCTCAAACATGAACCTTGAATGGATGCTTTACTATAGGGAAACTGGTTATATATCATGGGACCATGCACGAATGGTATTTCTAAATATCTGGAGTAGAGGTTAGAACCAGTTTGATGAAATTCAATTTAAATTCAGTTTAAACCAGTTGCAACATAAAACTAAGTCTGATTTTTAGAGATTCAAAAACCAGTTTTAATAAGATCGATTGATTATGAAAATTCGAATTTAATAAACTGGTTTAAACCAGTTTTATGCATTAATAAACAATGATATTTGATACAGCAGCGGTGTAAAGTTTGATTTATAAGAAAATTAATATATTAGCCTTAGGAGTTTCTTTATATTTTCATATTTATGTGGTTTTAGAAGTTTTTTTTTTATTTTCATATTTTTAGTAGGAATATGTCATATTCTACAAAAATATATGAAAATTATTAAATTTTTTTTTGCCGATCCCAATTCTTCCTTCTTTTTTGTACAATACTTATGATTAAATTTTAGTTTTTCTTGTACAATTTCAAGATCATATATTTTCCATTTTGTATAATATTCTTATTACCATAATGACAGATGAAAAAAAATTGTTTTAAATTTAGTTTTTACTTTCTTCAAGGGGTTTCCTGATCTTGGATAGCCTTTGTTATATTTAACTGAAACTTCATCCATGCCATTAAAGTTTTTTTTGATATTAAAAAAAAATAGAAAGTTCACCCTTTTTACCTTTTGAACCTATTTCTCCTATTGATATCGATTCTGATAATGAAATTATTACAAATTCTAATAGTTTAGCTAGAAAAAAATGTAAAAATAATACATCTAATATAATTACCAAATCCCGTGATAATCACAGCCATACATATTATTTTTTTCATTCTGATTTAAATGATTCTTCTGTTATTTATTACAAGATATGTGAAATCAATTTGACTGGTACATATCAAAAGACATATCCATAAAATTGAAAGGGAGGGAATATAACAAATCTTATTTATTATTTATGTGATAAATATAATATTACAAAGGAAAATTACATAGGATTTTTAGATGAACTTAATGAGGTATTATTGTATTATTGATTTATTAAATTTGATATTAATAATATATATTATGATTTTTATTTTAACTAATATTTATTTTATTTTTTATTAATAACCTTAATGTAATCAAAGACAAATTGCAGAATATTTGAAAGCAGTAGCTTTATGTTTACAAAAACGTCAAAAACTTATCATACAAAAGCTTATTACATTTATTATTAAGCTTTTTCGACCATATATTTTACAAAATTTCTCTTTTCGTGAATTACTTCTTACATGTAAACCTAAATATAGAATACCATGTGATAAAACTGTAAAAGCAATAATTTATGAGTCTTTTATATGAAGTAAGGATCAGCTTCGCTTACTTTTAAATAATAATATTATTTTTATTCATTTAATTACTGATTATGGACTGCAAAGTCTCGTTAAGGATATCTTGATATAACAATAACCTGGTTAACATCTAATTTTAAATTCCAAGAAGCTCTTTTATCTTGCAATCATCTTCCATATCCACACTCAGGAGAAGTTATTAGTGCTGAATATTTGAAGTTATAAATGATTGGAATTTAACAAACAAAGTATTTATAATTGTAACTGACAATAGAGCTAATATGATAAAAGCTATTCAATTATTAAAAAAATAATATGTATCACAAATTGAACGACAACCTTATGCCACTCATACATTATAACTTTTAGTTTTAGAAGGTTTAAAACAATGCAAGTTAGTATATCATCAAGTAAAATATTTACAAGCATTTTTTCAATTACCTAAATAAGCTTAGCGACTTCAAGAAGCTCAAAAAATTATTGGACAATTATCAGAAATTAATCATAATGAAAATCCACTTAATGTTTTAACTGATGTTAAAACTAGATGAAATTCAACATATTATGCTTGAAAAAGAATATTAGAATTACATAATTCTATGTGATATATTGTTATTTCTTTATTAGCAAAACCAGATCGATTATTACAATAAGAAGGAGAAAAATTAGAACAATTATATTTATCAATTGATGAAAACAGTAAGTATAATTTATTTAGGTTTTTATTTATATTTTTTTTAAAAAATTAATATAATTAATTTTTATTAAAGTTTTTGAAAGATATGGTAAAACTTTTATTATTATTTGAAAGAGTAATACGTCAAATTTGTGGAGCTAAATATATTACTTTAAGTCTTGTTCACCCTTATATAGAATTATTAATAAAAGCATTTGCACCTAAACCTGGAGAAAATTATAATACATATCTTAATCTTATTTATGGATCAATTAATAATAATGAAGATAAATCTGATAGTTCAATAGAAAGTGGTGATGATGAAATAAATTCCTTCTAGTGGTTTACAATAGCATTGGCAATATGCACATTTTCAATTTTGAAAAAATATGTAAAGAGCTAAAGGAAAAGAATATGAATATAGCCATAATAATAGAAGAACTCAAAAAATCCTAAAACTAATTTTCAGTTAGCTAATAATGTAGATATGGATGATATTAATCATGTAAAATATTTACCAGCTATTAATATTAATAGTCTTCTTCAGAAAGTCTGAGCAGCTATTTTTTTATTATTAGATAAATTGTAGTCTATTCCAACAGAATTAGTTTTAATTGCAATGATACTTGATTCTTGGTTTAAAAATTTTCATTGGGATGCTAGTAGTGAAGAAAAAAATAAGTCACATGAATTATTGCAACAATTATATGATTCAAAAAAGATTCTTAAACCTCAACAACCTGCTAATACTCAATGGACAACGAGCAGTAAAAATAATGATGATGATGACAATTTTTTTAAAATTTTAGAAAATAATAAAAATTTATTTAATAATGAGGAGGAGGATGAAGTTTTACATTATATAAAACTTTAGCAAATTGATATTACAGAGAATCATTTAAAATAGTGGAATATAAATAAAAGTAGCTTTAAAATTTTGTGTCAACTTACGAAAAAATATCTATCAATTCCTGCAATCTCTGTGTCTAGTGAAAGATTATTTTCTAATGCAAGTAATTATATTTCAGCAATATGTACTCAATTATCTCCAGAATTGATCAATCAAATCTTATTTTTAAAGAGAAATTGTTATCATTTTAATATTTTTCTATCCCAAGATATCTAATTTTTTTTATCAATCATTTCAAACATATAATTAGCTTTAATAAAATTAAATAAAAATTAATTAAAAAAAATTTTTTTTTATTTGTTTATATTGTATATGAAACCAATCGCAATTCAGTTTTTTAATTTTATTATAACTGAATACTCAGTTAAATTAGTTTTATTTAAAATCAGTTTAAATTCAGTTCTTAAATTTAAAAAGTGGTTAAAACCGATTTGTGAAAATTAAACTGATTCTAACCTCTAATCTGGAGTGTTGTTTCATCAGAAAAAATGACTTTCTTCTAGCTATAACGATAATAATCACGTGACTAAAACAATCT